AATGAATTTTACTTTGTATATAAGTTGTAAATGTTTTTGATATGAATTTGTTCACTGTTATCATTAAAGCCAACTCTATTTGTATGGGGCAATCCCCGAAAACAAATAAACAAAATAATAAAAATAATAATAGTTTTTGTTAAAACTAATATAAGCTTCCATTGTAATATATTTATTAATTAATTTAACAGCCATTATATTCTTAACAATTAGATATATTTTAATTGTTTTGTGAAAATTAATGAAATTGATAACAGTCCTGTTGTATACTGATCCCCAAATATTCATCAACTTTGGAACCGTGTGATTAGCCGTTTTTGAAATATGGGCGTAAAAAAGAAAATGCGTTTGCATATACAACGCCGGACAGAATTGCCACTTATAAATTTTGGAATAATTTTTTGATATAAATGTTTAAAAAAAAATGTACATTTCTCTGGTACTAGAATGGAATTATTGATTTTTTTTATCAATTGCATCAACTGTAAACATTAATTAAAACGATTATTTTGTATTTATATTCGCCTCTACCCTAGATGGTACAAAATAAAAAAAATAAAAAAATAAAACGATACCTTACACACATTTAACTGACTCTTGCTCAAAATTCGACATTATTTTTGAATACGTATACGCATTTTAATGTGCTTCAATTCAATTTTTTAGGCAACAGTTTTTGGTTGTGAGGTAACACATTAACATAGGTAGAACATATTTTTGGAAAAAGAAGGGAATTCACCGAAGAGGAATCGACCCTTGTTCTTGCTTTAACCGAAGAAGGTTTTTCTTAATTTTCTTACAATATATAATACTACTTCTAATTGTAATTATAACTAGTTTTATCCGAACCTTCATGCTGCATACACCCGTAATTCTCTGTTTTTATTTTATATCCATTACATTTCATTCAAACAAACTAACTACTTAATTTGATCAGTAAAATAATTAATTTCTTAACATAATGCATTATCTAACCTTAGATATTTTTCCATGCAATAATAGAATAATTAACAACCTGCAAGTTTCAAACTCATGCTATTTAAAACTACTTACCTTTATATTTATTTTTTTTTATTTTTATTTTTTTTTTAGAATAGAATAAAAAAATAATTTTATTCTGGGACGAAGTCCCTTCAGAAATTAAAATTTTATATCTGGCCAGATAAAAACAAACATAAAAAGTTAGGATAAAGATAGATCATTAAAAAAAAAAGAAAAAAAAATATTGGTTATACATACTATTTACAAAAAAAAAAAACTCTTTTATAGTTTTTTATATCAGGTGTGTACGTAGTTTAATTAAAGTATATTCCAGATAAACCAAAATTGAAAAAAACTTTTTGTAACATACTACACAATGTTCAGTCCCCTCCCAAACGAAGAAGTGATAATATATTTTTACAAATATTTTTTATTAAAAAAATTTTAGCAAAAAAAAAAAAAAAGTATTAAAATCGAATTGATAAATTGAGAATTACACGTGCAAATCTCTCAACTCTAATCCACTTTATTTTTCAACCTTCCCAAGTTCTTGCACACACAAATGCTGTTTTGTTATTTTATTTCAATAAATGAGATTTTTTATTTATATGCTTCGTCATTAAATAGATTATAGTGAGCGAGAGTGATTTATTAGTTGGTTTTAGACATTTTTTAATAAAATTAAAAAGTAGTCTTATACGGTACAGAAGTTTTTTTATATTAAAAAGTCTAAGTATATAATTATTTATTTGAAATTTAATGTAGATAGTTTTTAAATTTTCAAAAGTATGTGAAGTATAGCTATATTAAACATATTTTAAACTGCTTGCTTAGAAATTTATTATTGAATTAAGATTTGAAGCTTGTCTGAGCATTTAATGAATATTTTTAAAATATTGGTCCATATTCATTAAATCGTTTCTTTAATGTTGAACTCTTCTTTATTGTTTATCTTTATTTTTTTTAGTCTCAGGAAGTGGTAGGAAACACTCTATTCTGTCAACACTATTATCTAACCTTTTTTTCTACTATGTCGTTTACAAAAAAAAAAATAAATAATAATAGTAATGATAAGTTTATTTTTTAAGCATAGAATGAAATTTATATTTTTAACAAATAACTGAATTAATTGGAAAGTGTCGTAAGTACCTAGTTGTGCCATAAATACTGTTACGAATGTTGAACTTACATCCTTGGATATTATTCTGATATTCCTTACCTCTATCAGGTTTCTTTGCATATCAGGATAATAACCTCAATTAGTTTGTATTTTTCTTTCGTTCAGTTAACATGAAGTGGTGTGATAAAAAGAAACAAACGAATAGCTGTGATCGCCTTACACAAAGTTTGAAAATGTAGGTCAGGGATTTTCAAGACTTTGAAATCTTTGGGTATCAGCCGTATGTTCGTGTACCGCACTATAAATAGACATAATGAGACCCTATCTGTATGTGACAGGCCTCCACCGGGCCGTCCCCAAACTGTGAGTACGGCAAATGCAGTGTGATCAGTAACTGCTCGAATCAGAAGAAATATCATTCGAAAACAATAAATCATGCCTCGGGAAATGGAAATCTCTGTCAGATCAATGTCTCACATAATAAAAAATGGCCTTAGGATGGGTGTATTTCGAAAAAATGACAGGACAAAGGCTAACCAGTGCTCTTTGGCCGTTACACCAATGGTCTTCGTCGAAAGATTTTGTTTAGCGAAGAAAAATTTTTTATTATTTAAGAAAAATTTAATCGCTAAAAATGATCTTATGATATGACTGGGCCACGGAGATTAAATGCCCGTGTCAAGGCAAAAGGAGGACATTTTGAGTAATTTCTTTTTTGTTTTATTCTTTATAGATACAAATTAATTTACAAATAAAAGATTATATAAAAAATTAATTTTTCTGTTGAAATCTGTATATATTTAACAATATTGTAACAGTATTTATGACAGGAGTAGCTACATATGAAATGTACCACTACAACTCATATGCCACAAAATTTTAGCAAAAGGTGGATCAGTACCATGCTCAATCGCCAGGTTTTTCCCTTTTATCAATTAATTACGTAAGGGAATCCATTTTATAGAAGTTGTGTGAGCCACAGTAAGGTCTACCAACTCTATGATCGATCCACGCCTGATAAAACAGAATAAATAATTATCTATCGGCGTTAAACCTGCAGCCCTGAGAATAGGAACACATTCTTACTCACTAAGCTGTTCGCCATACATGTTATATGTATTATGAACTGATGGTTTTAAACTCATGAATGTATTTATATATGTTTATATGTATATTAAAAAAAAATTGGCAAACAAGTTTGTTGATAACATAAAAATAATAAACAACGATACATTTCAAACAGTGCTAACTACAATATGCTCAAGAAAACATGCTAATTTAATATAATTGAACTTACCTCTTGCTGTTATGTTTCCTTGAATAAGTTGTTTTTAAAATAGTTTTTTTATGTCACTTTTTCATTTTTTTAAATTTTCAGTATTAATAAATGGAATTATTATCTCAACTTTACAATTGTTTTAGTTATGTATTCAATTATTTATTTATTATTATTATTATTATTCCATTTATTATTATTATTGTTCCAATTATTTATTTCATTTATTATAAATGGAATTATTATCTGCACTTTACAATTGTTTTAATTATTTATTCGTCTGATTAATAATTATATTCTAATAAATTTTTGAAGGTTTTATTATGAATTATTACTTTTATTAAAATAGTCTGGTTTCAAATCTATGAAAACAACACAAAAAATATGTTAAATTAGTTTCATTGATATTAAGAATAACAAACTAATTATTTCGTAAACTAAATCAGTATACTAGAGCATTTATAAGTGTGTTGTTTTCCAGGTTTCGGTTTATGTTACATATATATGAATAAATTTATGTTCTATGTTGTATGATTTCTGGGTTTAATAATAAATTACCGTTTTTATCATTAATATTTTTTTTCATAATATAATAGTAATATGTGAACAATAGAATCTAAAAACGTTGGTAAAATATTGTCATATATGAGCCTTTTGGGTGACATAATGCCTCCAATTTCAATATTGTTAAGTAATCATTTAAGTGATATGTCTATATGGAAAATTTATAATATCTGTTCAGACAGATAGTAAGTTGATTCCACAGTAAGTGATTGCAGTGTTGAAATAGAGAACTGCGAATAAATTTTCCCACGAGAAATATCACTAAAATTAATAATTAAAAAGGTTGGAAATGGAGTAAATCATTCAGTCAACTGAAATACCCATACATTTTAACGATATTTTTCTTTTACTGATAATTTGAAATTTAATGTAGAAAGATTCTAACAATACTCCAAGAAGGTTAAAACGGCAGTAGTCCCGCAATCTTTTGCAGTATGTATATATTATAGTTCTAGTAATGGCCTCAATCTCCACTGGCTTAGTATTAGTGTGATGCAGTTGAGAGAGTAGCGCAGGGTATCTTAAGTTGGAGGAAGAAGCCTGCCTCAAAGTTCGCATGTCTTTTTTTTTATTTACTCTTCAAGTTATTTTATTTTTATTTACTGCGTACACTTTTTAATCGTTATTTAGTTTGTATTTTGCTTCTGTTTATTTTATATTTTGTGTATATATAGTGTGAATGTTACCTCATTATAATCATTGTGTATGTGACAGAATGTTATACAGTCGACTCTCGATAATTCGAATTTTTCGATAATTCATACTCTTCAGTTACCTTCGATAAAGCGAAAAAATACTGTATTTTGATAACTCGAGAGAACGTTCTCTAATTCTAACTAGGCCACTTCTTCTTTTTATAATTCGAAATTTTCCTATCACTATTTTCTACATTAATTATTTTTATTAAAAATATAATAAAAACTCTTAATAATTCGATTTTTTTGTTGTAGTCCCTTTAGATTTAGAATTATTGAGAGTCGACTGTATTATTCAATAAAAAAAAAAAGAATGTTAGGAGAAAGGAATAGGTAAACAATAATAATAAAAAACACAAATATGATTGAACAATGTTCTTATATTTTCCACATATACGGCACATGTGACCCATATCCTTCGATCAAGTATATGTTTATAATATAGACTTATCTTTATGTAATAATAGTTTAATTATATAATGTTATAATATTATGTACAATGGTACTAAACTGTACACACAATTGGCAATAATTTCAGCGAAGCTAGATGGAGATTGCACTAGCAAGTGAGACACGTTGGGTGCACTGAATGAATTTTTTTTTTTTGAAATTTTTTTTTTTCATTTCAATTTTTTGCTCCGGCACACAACAAATCAAAGCTGATTTAAAGTTACCAAGTTTTTCATTTTGCAAAAAAATGCATTATTGCTCTCTTTTTTTTTTTTTTTTCTTTTTTGACTTATTGCAAAATCAATCTACTTAGATACCTTAAAACATTTGTAAATATTAATTTTTTTTTCAGTAAAAAACTCCATTGCATACAGATAAACTTTAAATAGGCTTTCAGCTATATCTAGACGCTTTCTACGTTCTTTGAGTGGATAAATTATGTTTGATCCTCTTCTGTTATGAATGGCACGATGTTTTCTCTTTGTTCAACTACCTTTCAATGTTTTTTACTTTTTTGAAAAAAAAAAAAAATCTTACAAGAACAAGATAATTTTTTTTTTTTAAACACAAGAGAATCAAACACGTTACCATATAACAATATTTAAAAGATCACGTTTTATTTGTTTTAATAATAAAAACCTTTCGGCTGAAATGAGATTTTCATCTAAATAACGTAGATTGGTGTTCAGCTCATATGTAATATAAAAAATGGTGATTTTTTTTTTCTCTAAATAGGTCCATACACAAGAAAATTTGATAATACTGATAAGAGATTTATAAAAAATATGCAGATTATAGATGCCGGCAGGGGAAAAGTTCAGGATGAGTTTTATAGAAAAATGGACGTAACATTTAAGACAAAAAAAAATTGTAAAAAATCGAAATATGTAAGAGGAGGGGGGAGGAGATTTTCAAAAAATTTCGGGTACACCTTCTACGTCACATCGATATTAAAAAGAATCAATAAGGCCAATTTTTTCGTCTTCACATATATTCTTATTTTTTTTTATTATTTATTTACTTGTAAAGGAACGAAAATTTATTTTTTGTCAAAAAACTTTTTAGATATTTATATATTGTCAGAACCCTCATGAAGGGGTAGGAGCCACACCTCGATAGGCGGGGTGGCCCAAAATATTCCAGCTAGCTAACCCTACATCTTATAGACCACATACTAGCGACAGAAAAACACAGGCACGGAAAAAATCGGAATGAGGAATATACGGAAAGAGAGAGATAATTATTAGAAGAAACAATATTTTAAAAGAGTTGTACTTATGTGGCTTTTTTCGTTTCGTCTTTATTAATTTTTCTTTTTTTGTGAAAAAATTTAAACGAGATTGTATGAGCCACACTTCTTTTTTTTTTTTACAAATGGATATTAATTGGTGATATGTTATGTTACGTGTAAAAAATCATTTGTTACGGAAAACACTTAGCCCAGTAAAAATTTTTCTAAAGAGGTAGTTTTAACAATAAATTATTAAAAGTCGCCATCAAGTTAGTTATTAAAGAAACAGGTACATATTTAATTATTATTATTATTATTATAAACAAAATATACAGATGCTATAAGCGACTACTGAATTATTATACAATTAAATAGAAATTACACGAGATTCAAGCAATAAAATAATTTTCTATTTTTTTTTTTAAATAAAAAAGTAATGAAGAAGCATGTGACAAGATTAATATTATTTTTACTGGACTAAGTTACACAAACCATCGTCTATACTAAGCATTTCATATTTCACAATTTTTATTTTAAAAACAAAACAAAAAAAAAACTACAATAATTAAAAAACTCAAAAATAACTATAAGACAATTAGAATAGCAGGAAAACAGTTTTTATCACAATCTTTCCCGATGTCTTTTATACCTATTCCTAAAAATGTCACCAGTAACTAGGGCTCGATGAAAAATTATTACATTAAAAAAAAAATAATCAAAATTAAAAAAAAAAATTCTATAGAAATAAAACTATTCACAACTTCTGCTAAAATTATAAAATGATCTATTTTTATATTTTAAAAATTCATCTTATATAAATATGGTTCAAATATGAAAAAATATATATATTTTTGTTATAATTTAAAAACAATTTGAGTACAAAAACACCGTTTCTTATATTGCTCGATTCTAAATATTTAAGTTTAAATTTTTTTTTATTAACATTATTATTTAAAGTATTAAAGCTGCCATAGAAAACGTGAGATCAAATTATATTTGATTTATAAATGTATATACTTTAATTATTATTTTTTTCATTCTATGTGAAATAGTTTATAAACGCAAACGGGTCTAATATCACATCTTCAGTATATAGAAATAGTATAGAAATCAAACAAAAGACAAAAAGCTATTCACTAGAGAGAAAAAATGCAAAGAGGTCGGTTCTGGTGCAAGGGAAGAAAATGTTTCGGACGATTCAAAGAATTCGATGAATTGAAAATGAAAACAACTGATCGATAAGCTGGCCAGTATAATACATATCGATAAATGAAAAAAAAATCGATTTTTAAATTCAGAACCGACGCATAATAGCTAGCTCGAAGACTTCTCTAGTAAAGGTTTTTGGTAATACGTTGGCTATATAAACTGGCTTTGCTAGTTTCGATTCTGTGGCCTATATCATATAGTTAACCCTAGACTCTCTCCGCCTAACAAAATAAATTACTATACTTTCGTCTAAGGCTGGAAACAGGATTCGAAAAAAAAAATAAAAAAATAAAATAGATTAAAAAAAAAAAAATTCTCATAAAAAAGTATATAGACGCGTATGTACACAATGATAGGCTCTACTACACTCTTAACTTAAAATTATTCAATCACTTGTCTCATTGCTTCATACATACACATTGTTTGTGTGATTATAAAATATATATTTGTTAAAAGGAGTTTTTTTATATATATAGGTATACACTTTACAAGCGTACGCCTATATATATATAATTTAAAAAAAAAATAAAATATATATTTTTAAAACTGAAAACATAGTCTATAATCGACAGTCGTTAATAATAATTATAAATGGTGCTCTATAGATTGAACTGAGACAGAAGCTAGCCTATTATATATATATACAAGATTACACAGGATATTTTGTATACAGTTTGTGAAGCTGCCTTCTAGGCAAAGGTTAAGACAGTAGCTGGTGGAAGTTGAGTAAATTTTTATACAAAGGCAGAAACATGTGTTTCCTCATTTTTAAAAATTTGTAAACTATATCGTTTCATTTTTTTAAATATACTATAAAGAGGCTTAATCTTAAGTATACAATATTTTGGATTGTTTGCAATATTTATTTTTTAAATAATATATAGTTACTTTTTTTTTTTTTTTAATAAGTACTATCGATAAACTATGGTAGGCATGAATTGTTTGCTTACAGGTACTAGTAAAGTAGATTATCTAAAGAATATATGAGAGGCAAGTCGAGTACAAGTACAAGACGCTAGCTGGTGTGTAGGTAACTGGGACGAAGCGCGCTTTTTTTTTTTGTTTATTTTTTAGAAAAATTTTTAATATATATATATTTTTTTTTATTCAACAGGGGTCGAAAAAACTACATCCTGCCCACTGCTGTTCGAAAAAACTTAGACCAGCTACAGAGCCTCACAGTAAATTATTACTAACATTATTCCATGGTATCAAAATACAATATTTTTTTTTTCATTTACAATCGATCATATTAAAGTTTTTTTATTTATTCTCATTTTCACAAGCTGGCTACGACAAATGACATCCTTATATATATATTTATATATATTATTAATTCTAAAGTACATTAAGTATTGCTTTTGTTCTGAGTTTTAACTCTCATTTATATGACAAAGGGTGAGAGAGATAGAAACAGGGTATAGGTTTCGAGGATTAGGAAGGAGATGGGTAGTGAAACCATATCCTAAAGTTATGTATAAATATATATAATATATAGAGTTATGTATATATATTTATATATATATATTTAAATATATATAATATGTATATAGGCGCGCTCACATAAAACAATACGACATATCCATTAGATTGTTCTTTTCCAATGCATCCAATCGATAAAATATGTGTTCTTTCTTTTTTTTTTTAAATATTTACTATATAACAAACCCAGTTATTTATCAACAATTATTTATATATTTAGCGCATATTATAATGTACGCCATTGGGAAAATGTGAGCTGTAAATATGATACAATTGGGTCACACTAAAAGCTACATTTAGAAGGAGAAAATTGTATTCCCTCATTTTTTTCTTATTTTTTTTTAAATATGTACATTATCAATTATGATTTCTTTAAAAAAAAATCAAACAATAGAAAAAACTTGCCCACTACAATTCAAGTCAAACATCCCCAAAAAAAACCTATTTAACTAAATTTTGTTTTATGCTTTTATTTTATTTTTTCATTCAATAAAATTTAAATATGTACAAAAAATAATTTAATACTTATGTAGAGTATGCTATTTTCTTTAATTTTTTATTATTATTATTTTTTTTAAATAAGTAAAAAACTTTAATTTAACAACAACAAATAGCATACTTATTAAAAAACAGGCTATGGAGGTATACGAACAGTATTCGATTTTTTTTTAAGTTAAGATTTTATTTTAGGCCTTTTATAAGAACATTTTGCCCAGAGAATTAAATTAAAAAATAAAAATGTGATAAAATTAATGTGAGACGCCAGGAAGGAGTTAAACTCCAATCAATGAACTTCTCTTATTTAGATTACCATGTTGGTCCAACGTGATTTGATTATCAATGAATAAGATCATACGTCTCCTGTATTCCCATAAAAATTATTAAATAGAATACCCTGTAAGTATTAAAATATCAATTTATTATATCAACAAAACAAATCAACAACTATATATATTTGTCAATAAAAAAAAGAGGGTAAAAGTTGATGACCCATTATCGGATAATTTGAACAAATTATTGATCATTTAATGTTCCTTCTAACGGTGACTAACATTTCCCTACCGAATAGTGTAGCCATAATAACAATGTACAAAATAAAAACAAAGAAAAAAAATATAATATTTTTTTCTTCTTTTACTATAACATACTACGAAAAATCATTCAAAATCGTCAACAATTATAACAAGAGCGACAATTGGGTACAAGTATAGACTGTGCACTTATATTATGCGCCCAAATATTATTTACAAATAACTTTTTTTTTTTAAATTACTATTATTATTATTATTATTATTATTATAGATTAAAATATTTCATGCATATAAGTGAGCTTTAGTGTTTCGCCAAACAAGAGCGGACAAAACACACAGTTTACACGCCTAAGTAGGACTCTGTTATGAAAATAAAGGTTAGGTGTAACGATATTTTATTTTTATAAAATGAAAGGCGCTACCAAAGGATGGGTACAGTGTAGGGTAGAATAGTACCTTTTTCATATTTTTTTTTTTGAAATAATTTTTTTTTTTTAGTATTTTTTAATTTTTTTTTTAAATAAGGTTTTCAGTTATTTTTTTTTTTCTCATTACAATACACAGGAGTGAAAACAAATATATACATAACTTGAATAAGTTTTATAAATGTATGTATACACGAGTGGCATTTTTGGAAAAAAAAAACAAAAAATGATATATAAAGAAGAAAAAAAAAAGGAAAAGCATATATATGTTTTTATGTATACATACATCGAAAAACTGACAGTTCAGAGGCTGCAAGTGCAGTTTCTGTACAAAGGTACCTCTTACGATCTAGGGATATTGTATTAGAAGAGTGTGATGGCGGGCTCGCCCACCCTGGTCACACTCAGGCAGAGAGAACTGTTTTAACTTACTACACCTCGCTACAGGTTACTAACGGGGGACTCCAACTACTTTCCTAGAATGCTAGGACTGCGACTTCAGTGATAGCCGTTGGTAAATGCTGCTGGTATCAAAGGACCCTGCGAACAGAATTACACCAATATTAGTCTCTGTCTTCTTCTGGGGGGTGGAGGTTCTTCCTGAAGATCTTCGGCATGGTCTTCGCTGGAGAAGTACTCGCACCTGAAAACTTGACGGTTTCGAAACCACAAGTCAAGAGCCAAGTCTAAAGTCTGCTAAGAGTCAGCATCCAACTATTATAGTAAGTTTTTTTTTTATTTTTGATTTCTTAATGACATTTACAACTGTATTACATAAATACATCTAGTAAATTTGGACATAATAGATATAATGACATGAATACAATTGCTGAGTAACTACCCATTGGTGGCACTCTAATAATATGTCTATATTAGGAGATAACGTGGTCATCTTCTTTTCAGACGCCTCGGAGAGTTATCAGGAATTGAATAGGAAGCAAGGTTAGAAACAAGAGGGTTGAGACGGTTATGAAGTTTATTATGGAAGAATAGGTATCTGGATTGGGCCAGATTTGAAACATTAAGGTCATTATGGATGGTTTTATTTGTAACAAAGTAAGGAGCATTGAGGATTTTACGGAGGGTTTTGGATTGTAAGGATTGGATGTGAGAGGAATTCGATGGTTTAGTGGAGTTCCATAGCTCAACTCCGTAAGTCCAAATAGGCCTTATTATAGTCATGTATATGAGCCTTTTGTAATTGATTGGAAGGTTAGAGCGTTTGTCTAGTAAGTGCTGAAGTAATCGGAAACGTCGAGCTGTTTCTTGTCGTTTCAGTCTAGTATGAGTATTCCAAGTTAGACGTTTGTCCAGGTGGAGTCCTAGGTATCGGATTTGTTCAACAGGAATAAGTGAGGTGTTGTTAAAGGATACTGAAGGGCAGGAAGTCATTGGTTTAAGACGAAGGGTGAAGGTAATTTGATGGGATTTATTGGAATTTATTTTAATTCTCCAGTTCTGACACCATTCTACAAGTAAAAAAAGTAGTTGATTTTTTTACTTTCACTTACATAAATATGAAATATATAGTAAGGGTAAGTATTGCGATAGTGAAAATTTTCGAATCTGAGTTTTTGAGTCCAAATAACCAAGTCCCGCAAGATGGTCTGTGTGTGTGTCAACGGCCTATCTCAAAAACGAAAAGTCGTACAGTCACGGAATGGACTTCATCCGTAACAAATAATAATAATATTAATTTAACATTTATTTTAGTAGTTGAATTTGTTAAATATTCCAATTGGTGAATCGTGTATTGTATTGAATATACATATTCTTTATTTTTAGGTTATTTTATATTTATTTATTTTATATATATATATTATTTTTCTGTATAATTTATTTTTTTTTTCATTGTACATAGAGTATAAATGTGATCTCTGAATTGTTTATTAACAAGTTTAAAAAAAATAATAATGCAACGTATCTTAACATAAGAAAATCAATTCTTATTTTCTCGGTAATCTTAATTGAGAAAAAGAAAATAATTTTAAAATTCTTCCATATTTGTGAAAAAAATATAGAGTATTAGGAATTTTGCGAAGGATTTAAGATTGTAAGGATTGGATACGATAAGAATTCGATGTTTTAGCTCAACTCCGTATGTTCATACCTATATGGATCTATCTTATTGTGGTCTTGTAAATGAGCTTTTTGTAATTAATTGGAAGTTTAGAGCGTTTGTCTAGTAAGTGTTGGAGCAGCCGGAAACGACGAGCGGTTTCTTGTCGTTTCAGTCTGGTACGCGAGATAAAATAATATGATTATAATTGATAATGTCTCTAACATTGTGATATCTATTGTCTTATCACTCACTAATTGTTGATCAATATCAAGCCTGGTTACCTCAATTTCCCGGCATACGGATAACTGTTGTTCTAAAGGTACAATCAGGTACTTATTTTAACTTGAATGGGAGGGTCGAGTTTTATTCCGTGGGTCAGCCACGAAATAAAAGTCAATCCTTCACCCCCCCCACTCCAGACAGGATTCAAACTGGCGAAACTAGACACGAGAATACTAAAACGAGCAACGATATAACACGTCGCGATCTCATCTTTTCTATTTCGAACATTCTTACGGGATTAAGGTCATCCAAATTGGATTTTCGAAATTTATACCCCATCTTTCGAAAAGCCGGCCATCCTTTCTCTTAACCATTTATATATATATATATATATATATATATATATATATATATATATATTTCTGTCGGCATTACAGACCATGTAAATCTTTTGCCGCCTTTCAAAGCCTATCTTGGGATATTTCTTTCCAGGTATCTGCGTGCAGCTCTATTGAATATTTGTTGATTCGATTTATCCATTTGCTTTTTCGCCTTCCAAGGCGTCTTTTGCCTACTATTGAGTCATTCATTGTAGTGTAGAGACTTCCAGGTGGTAGGACTTCCGAACTAAATGTCCCGCCCATCTTAACCTCCGCCTATCATGAGATATTGATTGGCCAGTTTCTGTAATCAGCTTTTTATTGGTCTTTCTTCTCCCTGTGTTTTGATCCCAGATCGCTCCGAGGATGTGCTCCATCTGGTTATCGTGCGGAGGAAGCGGAGTATTACTAAAGGATATTGTAGGAATATATATCAGTAAACATAAATTAATTATACAAAGAGCTCGTTGAAGTATATCGACACTCAGAATACGAGAATGAACTTTCTCAAAACTTTTTCATAAAAACTGGTTTCGAATTATACTAATTCCACTAACAGACTCATCAGTGTCATACGACATCGTACGACGTAGCAACTAAGCCATAGTTTATCCAACGAGGTTTTACTCGATGATTAATGATCTGATAAGGCTATTAGATTTGATAAAGGATCCCAATATCCGATATGTTGCGACCGTATGCGAGGAAATTGAATCCTTAGTGAGAGTAATGAACCGTACTCGACTAGGGTAGACTCAACTAAGCACCAACAAATGTAATTGCCATTGCCCATCCTCGAAATATTAATAGTTAAGAATTTTTTTTTTGTCGTACCGATTAATCCACCGATATAGATATAAAAAAAAAATCTCGTGTGTCCACTCACACGACTTTCCTACCTATTTCAGAAAAGTTTTTATACATTTACATATGCCCAGCAAGAAACAAAAAAAAAAAAATGAATTAGATTTATTTTCCTGAAAATTAATCAAAGAAAAGATTTGAGTACGATTCATTTGCTAAACTAAAGCAATATAAACCGGCTTCAGGTAGATCAGTGTAAAAATTTCAATACTTCCTAATATTGCTGATCAGAAACTTTTTGCCATAGCTTAGTATTGTCAAACAATAATTTCTATTAAAGGTAGAGGAAATAGAGAAGATTGGGTGATGATGGGAAACAGATTTTCTTACTTTCACTTAGTCATTTTTTTTTCTCTCATTCACCCCTTTCTGACACCAGAATACGAACCCGTAATCTTACATTGGAAATTGAATAGCTGTAATTTCGTTATTAGTTGTCCAAAATGAACGATTTTTATATATGTTTTTCGGATTCAGTAAGCTCTGAAACGTATACATCCGTCGAAAACCGCATATCGGAAATTTGACCCGATCGCAATACTTTCCTTACCTAGGTAGGAAAGTAATAAGTTAAAAAAGATGATTTTTTTTTTTTTGTTTTGTTGGTAATTTAATTACCTTTCAAAATTTTTATTATAAATTTTACCGTATATACTTAGGTAGTTAGGCCCCATAACATTTTAATTTTCTTTAAAACTTTTTTTCGTGAATTTAGTTTATATATGAAATGGAATAAGAAAATGGATAGGACAATGATTAGAACATTAGATAAAGGTTTCATCAAAATCGTTAGGGCCGATTTCGCGCTACAGTCTACAGAAAAACATGTTTTTCATTTATTGGACGCAAGCTAATGCGCATGGAGCACCGAATTTCTGTCACAGGCATCCGTAGTCAAAACCCTACAAAATAAAAAAAGAAGCAACAAATCAGTTCAGTAGTTCTCGAGAAAATCTTGGCATAGATAGACAGACAGACCAATGGCTAAAAATATGTTTTTCGGACTCAGTGAGCTCTGAAACGTATAGATCCTTCGAAAACAGCATGTCGGAAATTTGACCCGATTGCAATGCTTTCCTTACCTAGTATAGATAGGAAGGTAATAAGTTAAAAAATGTGTAAAAAATAGAATAAGCTGTATCATCGATAATACTGATTCGATTCCGATGATTTTTTTTTTTTTGTTTTGTTGGTAATTTAATTACCTTGAAAAAGTTTTATTATTAATTTTACCGTATAATGTATACTTAGGTAGTTAGGCCTCATGACATTTTTCTTTTCTTTATAACTTTTTTTCCAGAATTTTTTCGTGAATTTAGTCTATATACGAAAGTGGAAAGGACAATGATTAGAACATTAGAGAAAAGTTCCATCAAAATCGTTAAAGCCGTCTTTGCGCTACAGTCTATAGAAAAGCATGTTTTTCATTTATTGCACGCAAGCTATTGCGCATGGAGCACCGAATTTCTGTCACAGGCATCCGTAGTCAAAACCCTTTAAAATAAAAAAATGTGTTTATCGGACACAGTGAGCTCTGAAAAGTATAGATCCATCGAAAACCGCATGTCGGAAATTTGACCCGATTGCAATACTTTCCTTACCTAGTATAGGCAGGAAAGTAAAAATATCTGGTGTGGTCACTCACACTACTTTGATATTGATTTTAGATAAATATTAACAACTTTAAATCGCTCCATACAAAAAAAAATTCCTTTACATTCCTCAGCAGCGATAGCAAAGTAACAAAGATATTGATGAATCCCGAAAATTGATCCTTTGTATTTATCGTTTATGGACCAACAGATCACATCAACATCTTTTTGAAGAATCGGTTTTTCATAATTTAATACACGTCTTAGATTACTACATGATTTTTTTTACCACCATTTAACTATAAAATTATTTAAAATGATGCCGATAGGAATTACCAAGTATATAATATACAGTGTGTTTCGGGGTTAAGTGGCCAAACTGCAAAAAAGAACTAAGAATCTCAAAACAAGAAAAAAATT